AAAGGGGAATTGGGGTGGAATTGGGCGGAGTTAAGGGGATTTGGGGGCATTTCAGCGGGATTTGGGAATAATTGGGCGGAGTTAAGGGGATTTGGGGACATTTGAGGAGAATTTGGGAATAATTGGGCGGAGTTAAGGGGATTTGGGGTGGAAAAGGGGAATTGGGGTGGAATTGGGCGGAGTTAAGGGGATTTGGGGGCATTTGAGGGGGATTTGGGAATAATTGGGCGGAGTTAAGGGGATCTGGGCTGCGGCACAGAGATAGGTTGGCTGGGGTGGGTGGGGCCTGTGTGAGCGTGTCCGGGGGGGCGTGTCCATGCTAGTCCCCGCCCCCACACAGGGGACCTTCACGCCGGCCAGTGACGCCTGGGCCTTTGGGGTGACGCTGTGGGAGGTGCTGACGCGGTGCCGCGAGCAGCCCTACGGGCGCCTGAGCGACGAGCAGGTCATCGCCAACGCCGGGCACCACTTCCGTGCCCAGGGCCACCAGGTGGGCACTGGGAGGGACTGGGAGGGACTGGGAGGCACTGGGGGGCACTGGGATGGGGCTGGGTGGCACTAGGTGGGGGCTGGGGGGATGCTGGGGGGATGCTGGGGTTGCTGGGAGGCACCAGGTAGCACTGGCGGGCACTGGGAGGGGACTGTGGGGCACTGGGAGGGGACTGGGGGGCACTGGAAGTTGACTGGGAGGTGCTGGGAAAGGGCTGGGGGGATGCTGGGAGTCCCTGGGAAGCACTGGAAGGCACTGGGAGGGGGATGGGGGGATGCTGAGGGTCTCTGGGAGGCACTGGAGGGCACTTGGAGGGACTGGGAGGGCACTGGGAGGGGACTGAGGAGTACTGGGAGGGACTGGGAGGACACTGAGGGGGACTTGAGAGTACTGGGAGGACCTTGAGAGGGGACTGGGGAACACTGGGAGGGGCTGGGGGGATGCTGGGGTTGCTGGGAGTCACTGGGGAGGACTTGGAGGGACAGAGAGGACACTGGGTGGCACTCAGGGGGACTGGGAGGGACTGGGAGGACACGGAGGGGGACTTGGCGGTATTGGGAGGGATTGGGGGGCACTGGGAGGGACTGGGAGGCACTGAGGGGGACTGGGAGGTCCCTGAGTGTCCCCAGGAGAACCTGCTGTGCCCCTCATGCTGCTCCCAGTTACCCCCAGTACTCCCAGTTACTCCCATCACACCCAGTTATCCCCTCATTACTCCCAGCTACCCCAATTAATCCCAGTTATCCCCAGTACTCCCAGTTACTCCCATTACTCCCAGCTACTGCAATTACTCCCAGTTACCCCAATTACTCCCAGCTACCCCCAGTACCCCCAGTCACTCCATTACTCCCAGTTAACCCCAGTACTCCCATCACTCTCCATCACCCCAGTTACTCCCAGTCACTCCATTACTCCCAGTTACTCCCATCATGCTCAGTTATCCCCTCATTACTCCCAGCTACCCCAATTACTCCCAGTTACCCCCAGTACTTCCAGTTACTCCCATTACTCCCAGCTACCCCAATTATCCCAATTACTCCCAATTACCCCCAGTACTCCCAGTCACTCCGCTCCTCCCAGTTCCCCCCAGTACTCCCAGTTACCCCCGTGCCCCCCCAGGAGTACCTGCCGTGCCCCCCGGGCTGCCCGGCGGCGCTGCACGGGGTGATGCTGCGCTGCTGGTCCCGCGACGCCGCCGACCGCCCGTCCTTCGGCCTCCTGCACCGGCTGCTGCGCGACCACACTGTCCTGGCCTGAGCCTCCTCCTCCTCCTCACCATCCTCTTCCTCACCACCAGCATCCTTCATCCCTCCTTCAGCCTCCCTCTTCATCCTCATCCTCCTCATTGGCATCATCCTTTATCCCTCCATCATCCTCACCATCCTCATCCTCACCATCAGCATCCTTCCTCCCTCCTTCAGCCTCCTCTTCATCCTCATCCTCCTCATCGGCATCATCCTTCATCCCTCCTCCTTCGTCCTCCTTCATCTCTCCCTCATCTTCCTTCTCCTGCTTTATCGTCCTCCTCCTCCTCCTCCTCATCATCATCCTTCTCCTTCATCCCTCCTCATCCTTCTCCTTCGTTCTGCCTCATCCATCTCCTTCATCCCTCCTGCATCTTCCTCTTCCTCTGCCATCCACCTCCTCCTTTATCCTCCTTCTTGTGCTTCATCCTCTTTATAACCTTCCTCCTCCTCCTCCCTCCTTCAGCTTTCATCTTCCTCCTCCTTCTCTTCCACCTCATTCTTCATCTTCCTCCTCATCCTCCTCATTCTTCATCCTCCTCCTCCTTCATCTTCCTCCTCCTCTTTCTCTTCCACCTCCTTCTCCTTCATCTTCCTCATCGCCATCCTCATTCTTCATCCTCCTCCTTCATCTTCCTCCTTCCCTTCCACCTCCTCCTTCATCTCCCTCGCCATCACCCTCATTCTTCATCCTCCTTCATCTTCCTCCTCCCCTCTCCTCCCACATCTTCCTCTTCACCCAACACTGGAAGCACCCAACACTACTGACATGGGACCCCCCACACCCCTGGGACCCCTCCCCAGATCGATGGGTGCCCCCCAGATACCTGGGACCTCCCCCACACCCCTGGGACCCCTCCCCAGATCGATGGGTGCCCCCCAGATACCTGGGACCACCCCATACCTGGGTCCCCCCCGGGACCCGTCTCCGCTCGACACCCTCATTCCTCATTAGCGGGGGGCTAATTAGCCACGGTGGCAGCGGGGGAGGGGCGGGGGCCGCGACGGGGGAGGGGCTGTAAATATTTGGTGCTGAAACGGAGATTTTTACGCTAATATATAGAAGGTTTTGGGGTCGTTTGTGTCTGTCTCGTCTGTGGGAGGGTGCTCGGAACCCCGCGTCCCTCCATGGGTGGCCAGATGCCTCGGTCCACCCTTGGGTGCCCAATTCCCTGGGTCCCCCCCTGGGGTGCTTGGACCCCCTGGGACCCCCATGGGTGCCTGGATGCCTGGGTTCCCCCTTGGGTGCCCAAATGCCTGGGTCCCCTCCAAGGTGCCCGGATGCCTGGGTCCCCCCACGGGTGCCCGAACACCTGGGTCCTCTCCAGGGGTGACCAAACACCTGGGTCCCCCCCTGGGGTGTCCAAATGCCTGGGTCCCCCCTTGGGTGTCCAAACACCTGGGTCCCCCCCTGGGGTGCCCAAACGCCTGGGTCCTCTCCAGGGTGCCTGAACGCCTGGGTCCCTCCTGGGTGGCATCAAGGTGACCGATGGGTCGGCACATGGGTGCCCAGGCCTTCCCCCACCCTTATTCTCTGACGCACAAGACCCCCCCCCAGGGTCTGGAAGGGACCCAAGCGTCCGGAAGGGCACCCGGGCCTCCAGGCCTCCGGGATTTTCCCGGCTCAGTGAAGCGGGTGATTCTTGGAAAGGTTGGGAGCCGGTGACACCCGGTGTCACCCAGACCCCTGCGTCCCCATGGGGGTGCCCGGATGCCTGGGTC